AAGTTGGCGACCCCACAGAAAGCCAACAAGAATTTCAGAAAAGTCAGGACCTTCATCACAAAAAATAAACTTTACATTTCTGTGTGCATATGTTTTTGTGTTATTTTAAAATATAGTATTATACAAATTAATATAAAAATAACTTAAAATTACAGTAAAATTTGTTTATTTTTGGTCATGTGTTTCCCTATCCCTATTTACTCTATGTTAAAATGACCTCATTTAACGCTGTTTGGCTTAAATTTGGCTAGTAATTTGGCTTAGTAATTAGTAGTGACTTGGTAATTTATTGTAAAGTTCGTTCTCAACTTCAAATTTAATGTTATTATCAAAACCATTAACAGTCATAACCAAATCATTAGGGTTTAAGATTACAGGATCATAGATTATAAAACAATCGTCAGCATATCTGTTGAAGAATTTGATGCCATGGATATTATTAATGGAGGTATCAATATCAATAACACTTAGTTCAGCTAATGTAGGGCCAATAATGGATCCGATAGGTATGCCCAGATTTTTGAGTACAGTATTTTCCATTAAATTGGAAAATACTATACTCACCTCCTTTATAACCGTTCCCTGCACCTTGTAATGCCTGCACCTGCAATTCTGTCATCTTGCTGTTTTTTGGTATGTATATAATCCATCTATATAACATTATTTCATAACACTGTAAACCAATAATTGAGCTAACTTATAACTGTTTTGTATCAGCACCATGCAACATTATGAAGATTTATTACATCTTTCTACTGTGGTTGTTCCTATTGAGAGATAGTAAGATCTGCAAACAAATGTTACTAATAGTGATACATATATATACAAACAAAATAACAGATACACAAACAAAATATCCTTTATTTCTCTCCGAACTGAATTTATTAGTACAGATCCCAACTTCACAGATTTAATATTACTATTAAACAAAAAGGGTAGTCTATCGTCCTCCCATAAGCATGTGAACAACTCGTACATAACATACAGTATGAACCTGACCGACTTACAACTAATCTTATACCTATCTTAAACCTAAGAGAAAGGGGAAAAGCAGAGACTTAGGAAAGTACATCAGGAAGACAGAAGTAGAAAATACCCAAGTTTCCTTTAGTTGGTAGGTACAAATGTGGAAGGTGTCTCCTCAATAATATGCTTTCAGATGTCTTCCTCCTTTGCGAACTCAGTGCCTTGGAGATCTCCAGTCGCACTTACTGTTTTTACAATCTTTCAATTTAGTTCCTCAACCTCTACGGTTTTCTCCAGCTTTGCAGTCCTCTTTGTGACTCTTCTCAAAGTTGGAGCACTGCCTTGTCCTGCCGTCCAATCTGAGATCTTGACCAAGAATGACCCTTCATTTTGCTGGTTTGCTTCAGGTCTTTTCCTTTCTTTTGTTTCCCCCAAAAATTCAGGAAGCGATAGTTCTCTTACTCTTTTGTTCTACCAAGAGTTCTGAGAATGGATAATCCCTCCTTAAGGCAATAAGATTTAAGACAGAAGCTTCTAGAAGGAAGTTATGAAAAAAAGGAGAAGAATCAAATATAAAGAAAAATAAAATATAACTAAAATACATATAATCCTATGGCTGATGGCCACATACGCCCCTCCCCAAGGATCAAACACCATAGTGTAATCTACGATAGTTTATCTTGTGCCCACGGAGGTTGTATGGGTGGTGGACTCTAACCTCCTCCTTTTCTTCATGCTGATCCTCGGGATTATTATTATTGCTCTTGGGTCAAATCTATCTTTGGCCCTTCTCTCAGCATCAATCTCCATAGGTGTTCGAGATGCTCATCATCCTCCAAACTTTCATCAACGGGCAAAGTTCTCCCTTCTTTTCCGATGCTTCGGGATTGTAGCCTTTCCTTCCCTATACACCGGGGAGTAGCACAGCTTAATTCTGTTGGCGTGCACCACCCACTTTTCATTTTGTTTGTTACCGCCGAGTTCTACTGTGACTGGTCCGAGTACTTGCATGATTATGTACGAGCCTAAGTATTTCGGAGAGAACTATCCCGTACTTTTTGCCCTCCCCTTTCTGAGAAACCACATCTTCTGGCCCTCCTTCTATATGTTAACCTTCCTACCCTAATTCTTCCTATCCCTGTTCCTAAAATTACATTTTCTCCCCAACTCATAAGCAGTCCTACTTATCACATTTAGCTGATTCAAAAATTCTTGGTTGTGATTTGATTCATTCATATCTTTTACATTGTCCTCTGGGAGAGCATTCAGAAAACGGGAGTCGAATCCACATAATAAGAACGCAGGAGACTCGTGAATTATAGTATATGATGAATTGTTATAAGCAAACAGGACAAGTTCTTCATGCTCACCAGGGTGTGTATAATAAATAAATAAAACCTACTTACTCGAGCCTCTAACCAGTGTGAAGAAATACTTAGAATAAGGAATCCAGCCATTTTACCTGAGGAAGGACACGGAAGGTATTCGAAAAATGATTCTTTCTTCAAAGTTGTTTATTTTATTGTATTTCTTCACACTCGTTAGAGACTTGAGTAAGTAGGTTTTATTTATTTATAAGCAAACAGGGTCGGGTGTATGTAAATGATACATAAACATACCTTTAAATTACAAATTGTATAGATTGAAATCGTATAAAATCCTATTTTACTATTAATTTACATAAATATCCATTTAGAATCACTTGTGAATAGATAATTTGTATTATTTATACATCACTATCACAAAGTAATAACTATATAGATGAACTTTTCTCCTCCCCCTTCTCTCTGACATTCCTCTGGTGTTGCCACATATGAGAGTTGGCCATCTTGTGGCAAAAGTTAATTATACTGTATTTTAAATTATTTTTNTAAGGAGGTGATGAAGTAGTTAAGTTTTCTCTCAATTTTTATACAGGGTGATGCAGATTTGTCCCCCACTGGACATAGTTGTTTGCCTGGTTTATGAATTTTGGAAAAAGCAAAGATACATGATATAGATGGTGCGTGTATGGTGGCCTTATACATGCATAACTTGAACACTAGTGGAGTGATGGTAAACCAGATGATTATGTTCTGACGCTTCTCCAAGAAACCCATGGATGCCATCTTGCATTCTTTTATATTGATATAGTTATGTATGCCTTCTGTGTATGTTTTTCTTCTCATTAAAACCATGTCCTTGGACTTATCAGTTTTAAGCATGATGATATTGTTGATAAATAACCATTTATTGAAAGCTCAGATGACTGTATAAATGGATCTATTTGTGGGATGGATGAGGAGTTGTTTAGTGTAAACACAGCTTTCCATCTAAAAAAATTCTTTGAGAGTCACCCATTCCAAGAATCAATTTTCGACATCTAGGAGAAAGTGTTTTGTGTTTTGGTTTAGATTGTGAAGGATGCAATGCATACATAGGGCCATATCTAGTTACCTCCAATAGCTAGGATGAGGGAGATCTTGTCCCAACAAATAATGCCATTATCACATCTGTGTTCTTTATGCTGTAACTGAGAAATGCAATGAATCTTCTTAATGTGATCATCAAAAACATTTGTTTTTTCATTAGTTTTAGTAAGTATAATTTATGCTGGATATTTCTGGTATATTTACGTATGTTGCGTTGGACTTAATTATCCAGTTTCACATAGCATGTATTTATTGTTAAAATAAAAATAACAACAAACAAATAAAATATAACATTATACATTATATATACAGTAATACCTCGACTTATGCAAACCCGGAGTTATGCGATTTTCAAATCTCGTCGATTCGTCTTTTGTTTGAGCGCCATACAACTCGATTACTCATTCCTCCCCACACTATTGTTCAGCTTACATGTTCGGACGTGTCGCGTGGAATCGACATATAGCTACAATTTATTTTGTGTTATTTATTTCTGTGTTTGTTATATCTACGGAGACTTGAGAGACTCCATGTGGTGATTTCTTGTAACCGAGAATGAATCAAAAGACGAGATAAAATTAACGAGAACATTTATTAGCTTATATATCCGACTTGGATTTTACACAAATTGCAAAATTATACCCTGACTTATGTGGTTATCGCTCGGTCTCACCTATCGCGTAAGTTCGGGGTATTACTGTATAATGTTATAAATATTAAATTAACATTCATATTAATAATTAAATAAATATTATATATATATATATCTCTACTTTTTAATCATGACATGCACTTTATTCTGATCAAAGAAAACAAAGCAGAAAATTTCTTAAGACACTTAATTTTTGCATTTTCTCTAAAATTTCATTAACATCTTTTACATCTGAAAAATATACACACATACACATTTCTTAATTTTGTATTTATGTGGAATATTTATATAAATAATAGTAATTTAAATAATTATTTCTAAAAAATGTTATCATCTATTCATTGTTCTAGGAATATAAAGTTTTTTCTCCTTACCAGATTTCTCAATAGTTCGAGGGATACATGGTGTAGGACCATTTTGTTTTGAATTTTCTCTGTCAACTGGGGAAAGAGTAACTCCAGGAATATTAGGAAGATTTTTTGGTGGTGTTTTGGCTATAGGAGAGTTCCTGAGCTGCATCAAGAATGCCCGATCGTAAACAATTCTGGTACCTGAAACACATCATCATCATCATCATCATCGTAAATTATAATAAGTTAAAATAAAAATAATAAATCATATAATAAAATATTAATAAAAATATAATTATTTTTAGTATATATTAAAATTACATATACAGGGTGCTTTATGAAAAAGATTAATTGTTAATATTAATTAATTAATATATGGGCAAATATTTTTTCTTTTTGCACTTCACTGAAATGGCAGTAAGATAATGATTGAGTACAGTCGACCCCCCTATAACGTGGGTTCCTATAACGAAAATTCCTATAACGTAGTGAAAAAATTGTAGCAATATTCGTATAAAGAAACTCCTAAAACGTCGTCACTGACTCGTGTTGCGACAAGATTGATAGAATCTGGACCAATAGTGGATGAGCAGCCAAACTACTTTCCTCTGCCCTGTGCCACGCTACGGAGAGTTTAGGCTAGTAAGTTGAGTTTATTATCGTCTGTACAGTATGTAAATTAGGTACCGTAAGTCTAATACAGCACTAATTTTACACATTTCTTGTGAAAGAAACATTTCTTATTCAACGGCCATAAAAATTATTTATATTAATGATGTCTCCAAAGGTCAAGTTATTTTTCTG